CCCGAACGAAATCATTTCTGAGTCGACCGCCGTGTTGTATAAATTCGTGTATAGTGGCGTACTTTTCTTTTCCAATTTTATTGCACTGTGACTTTTTTCTCTACAGTGATTCCTATTGGAAAAATAGTTTCAGTTTATGAACATTTCGGGTTACGAACGGACTTCAGGAAGGAATTAAGTTCGTGAACCGAAGTTCCACTGTAATTTGTTTTATCAAAAAAATCATTAAACATGCGAAGGAAATAATTTTCTTTTAGTCTTTTGAAAAAATACTACATACAGAAAAAATATATGAGCACTTTGACGTGGGGTAATGATTAGCAAGCTTGTCTCGCTAGATCAATTGCGACTGAATAGTGAGTTTGATACTCACTGGGTGCCCCACACTTTCGTTCTTGTGCCACATCTAAGCTACGCTTAGAAAATCTAGGCACTTCGACCTGGTGTATGGGTCAGCAATCTTCTCTCGTTAGATCAATTACGACTGAATAGTGAGTTCGATCCTCATTGGGCGCTCCATACATTCGGCCTTGTGCCACATCTAAGCTACACTTAGAAAATCACCACATCGGGAAAAAAAAGGAGGATAGATTTATTTTTTTTATGTTCATTTTGTTAGGGGAACTAGATCAGATAATTTTTTAAATGTTCATTTTATTAGATGGTGAATTTCGAAGCGTAGCTTAGATGTTGCACAAGGCCGAAAGTATGGAGCGCCCAGTGCAGATCGAACTCACTACTCAATTGTTCTAGTGAGACGAGCTTGCTAACCATTGCACCACGTCGAGGTGCATATGTTTGTTTTATTAGATGAAGATGAATCAGATTAGCTTTTATATGTGATATAGGTGTCCTGTAAAATGCAACCCGGAAACATTTGGTCGTGACACAAAGGAATATTATAAAAATTTTATTTTTATTATTTGTAAAAAAAAAATGTTGAAGATCTACGTATAATGATCTAGGTTGTTTAACCCGGATATAAGAGACCCTGATATAAGAGAAACCCGGATATAAGAGAAATTTTCTCTGGTCCCAAATTGTTCCCATACTTACCTAAACAAAATAGACCAAACCCGGATATAAGAGAAACCCAGATATAAAAGAAACCCGGATATAAGAGACTTCTTCTCCGGTCCCGACAACTCTCTTATATCCGGGTTACACTGTACACGTTTATTCTTCAGAAGGGCCAGAAGTGTGTTAAATTTTGAGCATTTTTATGGCCTTTTAGGCCAAGCGGTGAACCGCCAAAATTGTTTGAAGATTTTTTTTTTTTTTTTGAATACTTGCAGATGGTTTTTTTTATTGGCCAGTGAGAAACAAGTTTGCTGGCCAATGTCAAATTTTGACTGGAGCCGATATCACGGTCACTTTTCAATAAAAAAAAAAAAAAAGTACTATCAGCGGATGGGAGGAGAAGAACAGACATGAGACAAGGATGTGCCGTTGATGAAAATGGACAGAGCATGGCACCCACACTTCAAAGGACGTTCCAGAGGTAGGTCGTAAATCAGACCTGACAGATACAAGGCAGATTCCTACACCAGAAAATTTCACATCAAGAACAGACAAGTGAACTTTATAACATAAAACCCCATCGAGCTGGGATGTCCTGTTTTTGTAAACAGTTAACAACAGAAGTGAGTTCTATTTGAAAACTTTCTGCCTTGTGCCATTTTGTTATTCCTTTCTCTAAGTTTTTCCTATTTTCTCTAATTTTGATGGGATTAATTTTTGTACACGAATCCGTTTCTTAAACTAATTGTAAAATATGCTTTGTATGTGAATCCGTTTCTTATCTAACAAATTGTATCACATTTTTTTTCTTTTTTCTGTAAGTAATCTCTCTTCTTTTTTTTTTTTTTTTGTTACCTCAGGAAATTGTTATCCAGCCCAAAGTGGTGAACAAGAGGAAATTTTTGTGCAACCATTGTTTTGTACTTTTTCAAATTTCTAAATTGTAAATAAATATGTTGTTCCTTTTAAAATTTTACGCAGTGGTCGTCTTGTTTCTTTAAACCTATTTTCGAAAGTTGTCATTTCTACTAATTAAGTTTTATGTCTGGCACAAGAACTTGGAGTTGGTGGAAAAGTAAATTTTTTTACAATATTCTCCTTTGTCTGGGACTTTTCGCTGATGTGGTTTCAGAGTACTAGAGGGTAGGGGGTGATAGGATCTTATTCGGTTAAGTGTTTTGGCGACAATAAGAATCCTTGTTATAATTTTGGCGGCTCTTTAACCGCCAATTCCAAAAATAGAAAATTTTACATACAAATATTACAAATTTTTCATAAACCGTCTGCCTTTTTTTTTAAATACACTTCTCTAAAAAGTACGTGTATTAAACAAAAACCTGGACGATTATCATATTTGTTTATAACAGTTTTTATTAATTATTATTTTTAATTGTTTTATATTATTAACTAATAATTATTTTCTATGGTTTTGTTAATTCCTGTCAACAAAGCTTGCTACTACGTTTCCATATGGATCTGCTCGACTAATTGAAATGTTAAGTGGTTCCGCATTTCCGTCGGAGACTTTGATGTTTGAAGAATTTTACCAGTGGTTAATAAACCGACTCATAAGTTATAGTCACGTTTTCTTCAATGACGATCCGATCTTTTGTGCTCCTTCATCTTTTCTTCTTGGTAACACAGCCCGCTGCTTTAGAGCTCCGAACAAGGTCGACAAACTATACCCTTTTGGTCAAAAATCGGACACTGTGGGATTGGAGATTAGTGAGTCGGTGATATAATACCGTGATGCGCCTGGTCTAGTGTTATTGTGGTTTCTTGTGGCCTTCTCCGCGGTTTTGAATTCGAACTTGGTATTCTCCTAGACTGGTAACCCTACCAGATCTAAAGAAACCAATCTGTCTTATCCACAGGAATCAACGCTTGTCGGAAGATCGCATTTAGGCGTGAAACTGATACTCACCATGCAATATTGATTCCTATGCCCACCACACACACACACACATATATATATATTTGTTGTTTTCTTGGTGACATATACACACACACACACACACAAGTATATATATATATATGTGTGTGTGTGTGTGTGTGTGTGTGTCAACAATTTCAAACTACAGATACTAGAAGCAATTTATATTTTTAAAAATTAATGCCGGCACTGAACAGAATTAATTATGAATACTGCAGTAATGTAATGAACTGCCTGTAAAGGAACAGTTTTTTTTTCATGATTTAATGTGCGCATGACTACGACATGAAAAAATTCCATAATGGATAATTTTTTTCACGTTCTAATGAACGCTCAGCACATTGTCAACCGTTTTACATTTAAAAGCATAATGAAAATATACGGTAATGGATAACAACGCACAACTTTTTATAAATACTTGTACTAATGAACAATATATAGTTTTGTACTACTTGCACCTCTGAAGCTGATCTTAAAAGAAGATCGAAATTACCTGGAAAATAAAAGAAATTTAAACAGCTATAGTTCATTTCTCTTATCCTCTAGCATCAATACACGGAACGTTATTCGTGAGTATGAACGGATTTTGTTAAAAATTAGCAGATATAATGTCTGTAATTTATTCAGTCAGACATGCCTAAAAGAGAATTTGCTGTCTAAATGCACACACACACACACACACACAAATACACAAATACACAAATACACACACACACACACACACATATATATATATATATATATATATATATATATTAGTGTGCGTAATAGTATCCAAAACAAAAGTAAATATGATTAAACAAAGTGGAATATGCCGATAGCATATGCTCTGTTTGACTTCCTCGGGTTATAGTGAAAGAAAGACAAAACTGTATGTGAGAAAAATTGTCTTGGGGTCTTTGAGGATAAGTCGGAATCATAAATCAAATTTAAATTGCATTACCTTATCACCTCACAATGTTTAAACTCAAGAGAGTGTCTGCCCGCTTGTTTGTTTTATTTATATCTACGAGGTTAAGTAAAAAAAAAATTGCACTTCAAGTCAGCCGAGAATGTTATCACGAGAAGGCGCAATTAGTCACTCTCCTGGAGGTTGTTAGCATCATCCATGCTGGTGGAAGACAAAAATGGTTCAGACTATTAAAAGCGGACAGAATGGAGGCATTAAAATTAACATGCCATCCCTTGCCCCAATTAACAACAGATTAAATACCACTTTTGATATCAGCTGCCAATTTGACTTTATCGACCAGATCAGACTTACCATTTAAACAGGTGTAAATAGTTTTGTCATTGGCATAGATACCGAGTTGTGAACTGATAAGATCGGGAAAGGTCGGTGATGAAGATTAGGAACAACGTAGTTTCAGTTATAGAGCGCTAGGTTACACCTGCATTAATGCAAAAATATTTAGAAAAGTGGCTTTTTCTGACAACTTTAATTTCGCGATTTGATTAGAATGATTGAATCTGATCTAAAATTCGTCCAGAAATGCCATAACCTTTCAACTTATGAAGAACACCAACATGTCAATTACGACATTTCATCCTGAAATTTAAAAGTCAGAATTAGTGTTAGTTCAACAGATTTATCCAACATCTGGCCCTGATGAGCGTTTCGATGAGAAACACCTGAATCGGTTAACCAGATAAGTCATTTGAACATTCTTAGTACTCTGCGTAGCTTTTGGAATGCTTCCTTAACTATCCTTAAACACCTTCGGATTTCATTCCTCTGACCTTTCCCAGATATTTAAATTTTCACACTTTTTTTTTGCTAGCAACCATGCAGTGTGTCTTCTTGCAGTTAATGTTTAATCCTTCCCACTTTCTTTACTGCCTTCTGAAGGAGTTTTTGTAGTTTTCTTTCTGTGTCTGCTATCAACACTGTCACCTTTGGCTTTACACCTTATGTTGTTAAGATTATGGCCGCCAATAATTTAGCATATTTATGTATTTTAGGGAAAAGTAATACAGTTATCTCCCCTAGAACGTATGACCGTTTGCTATTTCAAGGGAGATAACAAATTCTTCTAAGACGAAAACAATGGCTTCTTCACTCGGGTTGACTTTCCATCGTTGTCGAATTATGCATTTATTTCCACCATTGCGCAGCCAATGTGGTGGACAACGACATGCGAACTTGGATCCTCTCCGAAGTAGCCAACAGACAAAATGTGCTTCTATTTTGTGTCCTTTAATTAGCCGTTCAAATTCTACTTTAGCTATTACACTGGCGAAAAAACACGTGAAATTGTCTTCAATGTCATCCTATGGTTCCAGTTTTTCTCCTCAACTATTAACTTGTTCTTCTCTCGTGTCATCCATTCTTCCTTGCCGGTAAGACACAATACAAAATTGAACATTTATTCATTCACATGTGCAAGCAACGAGTTAAGTAAAGGTGTTAGTAAATTGCTCATCTTGTAAACTAAACACGTTGGATGTTTCAACAGCTAGAGGCGGGTTTCAACAATTCAAACCTCTTATTTTGTTCAAACTTAAAAAAGAAATAGCGAATTGTTTTTCCATAATTATTGTGCTATTAAATTCTATGGTCATTTTTCCTAGGTGACAAAAAAATACTATCCGATCATTACATTAACAATTAAAAAACATTAAACATTTTTTTTATTTTTTTTATTCTCAATCAGTCACGGACTTCCACTAATGTTCTCAAAACAACCATTTAAAATTCAATCTAAAAGTCGTATTTTATTTAAAGTTGGACCTTTTAGAAAATTGTGAATATTATTTGGCATACCACAATGAAAGAATGGCTTCTAAATTGTTAAAGACACAAAAAATGTCACGAGGTCTTGCCTAGTGGCAGGGATAGTTGTTTATTGGAAGAGCTTATTTTACTTGTCTAAAAATAATAGACACCCAGTCTGTTTTTTTGCTGGTAAATATTTTTATGAAGGCAAGTAATGTTAACAGACAGATTTAACACAGAAGTTTATTTATTTTCAGTTTTTCAACATTAATTGTGAAGAACATCTTTTCCACCATCAAGTGTTAAAAAAAAAAAACACAAGTTTAAAAAATCATTTATTCATCATCAATTATTTAAAAAGAAAAGGGAAAAGAAAGAAATACAGAAGTCTCTGAATATTTTAAGCACTTCAGAAATGTCTCTGCAAATCCCGAACTTGGTCTTCTTGGGCATGGTTTTTCTTGCAAATACACTTCAGATGCACCCAACTGAAGACAGTCACAGGATCCATGCTGTTCAAGTCCTGCTTCCGCAGCTCCCACAACCACTGCGCTGACTATCTAAGGCTCCATAAACATGATGATAAAAATAAATATAAACTTGAGTGTTGTTAATTTTAACATTATCAGCCTTCAAAAATATTTACCGGCAAAATAGCCGGGGTGGGGAGGCTATTTTACCGAAATCGGTAAAATGAGCTTAAAACAAAAGCACGTTTTATCTATTTTACCGGGACGGCAATATAGCCTACTCGTTTATTTCCAACTGTCACCAGTAATCAGTGTTCAAGTTTAGGTAAAAAAAATTTTTTTTTAAATTAAGGATTTCAAAAGCGGATTTTGACTGACTTGCCCGATTTTGAAAATTTTGTCTACTTCTTATCTTTTATGGAGTATCAAAAGCTGAAACTTTTCAACTTCTGAAACAAGAAAGAATAATGGATTCTGGAATAATGAGAATGTGTAATCTGTGTGCCTATGTGAGGTGTGCAGGTGGTGCAATAGTGGCATGAAAGGAGAAATCGGAGAGCAGATTTTGAATTCCAGTCAAGTTTGTTGCATTCACTTACACACAAATACCCTTGGAAAAGGTATGAATCCATCTCTACTTCCCACCTATGGATTAAATAGTTGGACTTTTTTCAGGAAAAATCATCTCCCCACCCCCAAAAAAATACTCATGCACACAAAACAAAAAGAATTATTCTTACAATCTCAAGAGTTGGTAAGCAGTGAAAAACATATCAATGTAAGAGTGTGGGTGTATGCATTTCTATGTATATATGTGTGTGTGTATGTTTGTATATGTGTGTATATATATATCTATGTATATGTGTGTGTGTGTGTGTGTATATATATATATATATCTATATGTGTGTGTGTGTGTGTGTGCGCGCACACATACTTATCTTCATACACAATACAAGCGGGAATCAAAATGTCTACAGCTTGACATGTAGTTAGAATCTGAATTTTGACCTAAAATTTTCACTGTATAATGTTCAGTTTGTGTGATTAATATTTGCTACAGAATTATGTTCTTTGAAAAGGAAATATTTTTGATGTAAAATACTTGTGTGTGTATATTTAGGTAACTCCAAAAGTTTGCTTAAAAAAGACAATACCATGATGAAAAAAGGCCCCAAACTTGATAAACTTAAATCATCAAAATGTTTATTAAGAGGAAAGACCAATGGATTTTTTGATTATTTTATTAAATTCTTTAATCCTTTCTAGCATATTCTAAATTTTGGCTAAAAATCTTGTTTTTCTTGCAACAATGGTGGGCTATAGATTAGTATGGGAAATTTAGCATCTTTTGCGCAGAAAAAACACATTGTTTTAGAAACTCTTGCAAAAATCAAATAATTGTCAGATTTTAATTAAATTTTCAGGGCTTATTCACAAATGAATTTTATTTTTTATTTTTTTTTTGAAAAGTTTGGTAAAAATATCTATATTTTTGTTTTACATCTGTTAGCCCAACTTACTTAATTTTATGAAATTTTGACTAATTAAAATTCCACCTTCTCCGTATTTATATTAGTTGACTCCTTGAGAATTAAAATCATGAATTTGTTTTTGTCAAACAGAAACACCATTTACCAAAAATCTGCTCGTAATTGTAAAATAAAAAATGCAATAAAATTATGACATTATTGAATTAAAAATTTTTTTTAATTGCTTTTATAAATAAGATATATTAAGGACACTATTGTCATAAGAAAAAAATTTCACTTCATGTCAGCCGAGAATGTTAGCCCGAGAAGGCGCTATTAGTCACTCTCCTAGAGGTTGTTAACATCATCCATGCTGATGGAAGACAAAGAATTGATTTTTTTTAATTTTTTTTATTTTAATTAGAATAATTTAAGATTTAAATCTTTTAAAATTCTGTATTAATTTCAGCCTTTTAGATAATATTATTACTTCATAAAAATTATGTTTGCTAATCATGAATGGAAAAGCTTAATAAAAATCATCAAACAGCAATATTTTTAAAAGAATTTTGAATTTTTCTATGTATTTAAACATGCCAATTTTTGTAGATACAGATGATCATACACAGCATTATCAGAAAATAAGAGCAATAACTATAGCAAATTTAAAGCCAGAAAGTATCTAAAATTCAATAAAACATTACATTACAGAGAATATTGTCTTAAATTTTTAAGATTACTTAAAAATTATATATAAGAAGCACTCCCATTATATTCAGTTATTTTTATGGCTAAGGACATTAGATAAACATCAATCTGTCATCCATGTCAATAGCTTAAATAGCTACCACTGTGTTAAAAAAAATGCTTATTTTAAACATAAATTTGGCCCCATCTGACTATCATTTGGCTGAGGACCAGTATCACAGTATTGATGATGTCATTATCTGCTGTTGATGTTTTTGACCAACAGGATGAAAGCTTCTTCACCAATGGAATCCAAGCATTGCAACACCAATGGAAGAAGTGTGTGGACTGTATGCATACACTCAAAGACACACACACACACACACACACACAGTAACCATGTAATTTTTTTTCTTACTCTTTTCAGCTATCTATGTACACACTAGTATATTTTCTCTCTTTTTGTGAATCATGTTATTTGTTATACAAAATATTTCCACATGCTGAAATTTATCTCTTCTGAAACTGTTGAATTTAATTTCTTCAAAAGTTCTCAAACTTGTTCCATCACAGACATGTAAAATACATTTGACAGTAAAGCCTCTGATCAGTAAATTGAAGGTTTTGAGGAGTGTGGAACAACTGTTTCTGACTCAAGGTAGTAGCACTTGTTTGGGTCCCAGCTATGGGCAAATAGTAAACCCCCAAACGAAAGCAAAACACTATGAAAGCATAAAAATACATTTTAATATTAAAAGTACCAGCAATACATTTTTATATAAAAAAAGACCCACAATAGTCAAATGACCACCAGTGCATTTTTAAAGCAAAGTAACTAGCATTACATTTTATTTGTAGTTGAAAGCATACAAGTGTGTTCAAATTATTTAGATTTTGACATTAAATAGCCTGTAGAGTTTGATATGCCGCTAAACAAAAACAACCTACCAACAAACCTGTAGATGTTATTCCTTCTGCCCTAACACTTGTTTTTATTTTCAGATTTGCTACCATATATCGTTCCAACAACAAACCACGTCCAGAAAGACCAAAGGCCCAGACGACAATCGATGAGGAAGAGATAAAAAAGTTCTCTGCTTTGGCCAATCTCTGGTGGGATGAAACAGGAGAGTTTGAAGCTCTCCATTCAATGAATTCTCTCCGAGTTCCTTTAATTCGTGATGCCTTAAAAGACAAAATGGCTGTAACCGAAGATTATAATCCATTAATGCCTCTTCAAGGAATGAAAATGATAGATATTGGTAGTGGAGGTGGGATATTGTCTGAGGTGAGTCTACCATTTATTTTCATTTAAGGTTTCTGTGTGTTTCACATTCATTGGTTATTTTATGTGTGTGTGATTGTGTATAAAAGTCTGATATTACTCTCACTGGCCAGTTTGTAGAAATCATGGAGTCAGATATGTGTTTGGAAAAAACATTAAAATAGAATACAAAAAAATGAAATATATAGATAAAAAAAAAACTTTTTTTTTTTTAAAAATAAACCTAGAGAATACACACATACACATTAGAAACAAAGAAAAGAGTGCTGAACTGTTATGTAATATCAGTCTTCCAATATAGCAGTGAATGCTGGACAATCTGCTCATAAAGGAAGAGATTTGAGTCAACAGAAATGTGGTTCTACAGAAGGATACTGAGAATACCATGAACTAAGTAACAAGGATGTTTTAGGGGAAAATGGAAACAAAAAGAATAATGATACTTAGAATCAGAAAGTGGCAATATGAGGAAAGAGGGTTTGGAGAATTTGATACTCACAGGACAAATCAAAGGCAAGAGAGACAGGAGCAGCAAATTCATGTAAATAGTTGGCAAATAGCAAAAGGACAAACCTTATTAAGAGCTAAAAAGAACAGGAAGTTGTGAAGAGTCACTGTCAGCCATTTCTTGATGGGACAGCACACATAGAGGAAGATCATGTATGTAATTCTACCCCAAATTCTGGAGAATATGAACAGATTGATCAATCTATTCACCATTTATATTGTGTTTCTCCAGATATTTCACACATCTCTTGCAATCAGCCAAGACGAAGATATTAGTCTGAGGAAACCAGTACATAATAATTGATAATATCTCATCTCTAAAATTCAGACGAAAGAAATTTGTTTTGAACTGAGTCAAATAGACAACATAGATAAAGCTGCAATGATATTTTATTAATCATCCAATTTTTTTTTCTTAATATTGATGCTGAATTTTTTTTTTTTTTGTCTTGGGAAGATCTTATATATCAAATGCAGTTTTATCCTATATAATGTAGAATATCATTTATGTAAAGAATTCAACTTTTTCATTAAAAACATATTAAAATGTCATTTTTTTATATTTATACAAGTAATAATGAATGGCTACTTGTTTCCAAGCAGACCCATCTTCTTGGGTAAATAGCCAATCCCTGTTGCAAATGCCAGCTCAGGCACATGTGCATTTGTTCAACAGCTTCAAAACTGTTTGTGGGAGAGAGTGCATAATCTGATTAGAACAACAGTTCAAACAAGTCAAATATGCTCAAACACTTGGTCATAATGACTTGTAATTTAATAAGGTCATATGATATTAATTGTTCAGTTATTTTCAGTGTTGTAAAAACAGGTCTTTTTTTTTTTTCATTTGTTCCTCTAAGTAATTAATCTCCTTTTTATAAATATTTCTTAATGTATTTTCTTTGCTTTTCTTTTTCTGGTAGCCACTGGCCAGATTGGGTGCCACTGTGATTGGCGTTGATGCTTCAGAAGATAATATCAAGACGGCCCAAGCACATTTACGTCAAGACCCAAGCATTGTGTGCCGAGTGAAGTATATTCACTCGACAGTTGAAGATCTTGTAATTACAGAGGAGAATAAATTTGATGCTCTTGTTGCTTCAGAAGTCGTAGAACATGTGGCTGATGTCGATGTATTTGTTGAGTGTTGCTGCAAATTAGTTAAGGTAAGACCCAATGCTGCTGTTTTGTTTTTTTTTTTTGGTTTTGTTTTTGTTTTTTTTTTTTTCATTACTCTAAAGCAGTGGCACCCAAAGTTTTTTTCCTCTTGGTCACTTTTTCAGAATGAAAATTTGCTTACGCCTCAGCAAATTTTATGTGATGAAAAATACATTTAAAAATTAAAAAAAACTAAATGATGGTTAAAGGGAGATAACCGCGGATTCAAAGTCAGAATATTATCATTGATAACTCTCTCCTCCAATTTGCAAACCCTAGTTACTGTATTCTTAATATCTAATATATTGCAAAAATGTCACACTGATGAAATTGGTCAATAATTATTTATAACTATTCATTCTGGAACTGCATGCAATTACAAGTAATCCATAATAATATTTTAAATTTTGAAATCATATTTATTTTTGGCATATTCTAAATCTTTATCTTTCAATCATTCCACCTTACCTCCTGTTCTCTTCTATGACACCTATGAAGTGCATTGCACCATTTGGAAAGCACTACTGTAAAGGAAGAAAAAAGTTTCTCCCAAAGTGAATCTGTTTTGTTCTTCTTGACTCTCACCTCTATCATTTGTTTTATTTTTTCTGTTATTTCATGTTTATCTAACCCAATTCCATTCACCACCACACATCATAATCTTCCTTATATTCTTGTCTTTCTCCCTCTGACAGTGACTTCCAGATTCCAAGAAGCTATAACTTAACTGCTGTCTTGGTGGTAGCTTTCAATATTATTCCACTTTTGTACCAACTCAAGTAGATTATAAATCTCAGGAAAGATTCTGAAGTAATGGGAATAGGCTTCCCATTAATTTACAAAATGGATAATTTGTCAAATTTTAACCCATTAATTCCCACCATAAAATCTACTATTAATTACAAAAATTATAATTAAATGCAATATTAATTATAGATTTATAAAAATATCATTCTTATTTATGCATCATCTCCCTTCAGGACATAGGTGATCATGGCTTTCCTCAACTTCCTTTTCCTTGTAGCTCTTAATGAACTTTGTCTTTCTGTTATTTCTCCTAAGCCCTGTTCCACCATCCATTTAGTCAAGCTCACTAAGTATGTTATGCATTGTTTTCCTCTGTCCCTCTTGCCGTCTATCTGTCCCATGAGTATCGGATTTTTCAAGCCCTCCTTCTATGCCTCAGAAACTTCAACTCTCTTTTCCTGATGCTAAGTATTAGTCTCCTGTTTCCATTTTCTCCAAAACTTTGTCGTTGCGCACACATTTGGTTCATGGCATCCTCAGCATCTTACTGTAGAACCACATTTCTGTTGCTTTTAATCTTTGAGGAGATTGTCCTGCACTCACTGCCATAGAGGAGGACAGATATCACATCAAAATTTAGTACTTTTTTCCTTGTTTCTAGCTTTTGGAATGCTTCCTTGGCTATCACGATACACCTTCAGATTTCAGTCCTCTGTTAAGACACTTCCAAGATATTTAAATTTTCCCACTTTTCTACTAACAACCATGCAGTCTGTCTTCTTGCTGTTGATGTTTAATCCTTCTCACTTTCTTCACTATCTTCTGTAAGAGTTTTTGTAGTTTTCTTTCTGTGTCTGCTATCAACACTGTGTCATCTTCATACCTTATATTGTTAAGATTATGGCTGCCAATAATGAATCCTGGTAGGATTCCTAGTTCTTTCAGAATTGCTTTGCTGTATAGGTTGAATAAGTTCAGTAAAAATTTCCAAAAAAATATCCAGTATTAATTATAAGTTTATAAAATATCTGGTATTATAGAAGTTAACAGGTTGATGAGAAGGCTGTGCATTCAAATCCATTTGGGGTCACCAATTATGGAAGTTAACAGGTTGATGAGAAGACTGCACATTCAAATCCATTTGGGGTAACCAATTATGGAAGTTAACAAGTTCATGAGAAGGCTGCACATTCAAATCTATTTGGGGTCACCAATTATGGAAGTTAACAGGTTCATGAGAAGGCTGCACATTCAAATCCATTTGGGATCACCAATTATGGAAGTTAACAGGTTCATGAGAAGGCTGCACATTCAAATCCATTTGGGATCACCAATTATGGAAGTTAACAGGTTCATGAGAAGGCTGCACATTCAAATCCATTTGGGATCACCAATTATGAAGTTAACAGGTTCATGAGAAGGCTGCACATTCAAATCCATTTGGGATCACCAATTATGGAAGTTAACAGGTTCATGAGAAGGCTGCACATTCAAATCCATTTGGGGTCACCAATTATGGAAGTTAACAGGTTCATGAGAAGGCTGCACATTCAAATCCATTTGGGATCACCAATTATGGAAGTTAACAGGTTCATGAGAAGGCTGCACATTCAAATCCATTTGGGGTAACCAATTATGGAAGTTAACAGGTTCATGAGAAGGCTGCACATTCAAATCCATTTGGGATCACCAATTATGGAAGTTAACAGGTTGATGAGAAGGCTGCACATTCAAATCCATTTGGGGTCACCAATTATGGAAGTTAACAGGTTGATGAGAAGGCTGAACATTCAAATCCATTTGGGGTCACCAATTATGGAAGTTAACAGGTTGAGTGTTTTTATGTATTATATGTGGGTACCTGTTCAATATGTAAATATAGAAGTATACAAAAACCTGAGTTTCTGCTACAGACATTTATCCTTTTATGATGACTCAATATTCCTTGGGTATGTAAGTTAGGATAACAATAGTGAAGCTTAAGTCAACTTTGTGCTTATTTGTGACAATCAATTCACATACTTCAAGAGTAGGGCTGTCAGAACATGTCTCCACAATGTCGTTGGAAAGTGGAAAAAGAAAGATTCTATCTTTTCCAGAAGTGAGGTCATAAAATTGCACATGTGACCAGAAACCCTTTCTAGTTTCTTTATAACTTGCATCTTGAGAAAATTAATTTCTTTTTCTTTATTATTATTTTATTCATTGGTTTAATTTCATTTCCCCAACATTTTGTCATTCATTCATATATATATATATATATATATATATATATATATATATATATATATATATATATAATGAGCTCTCCCATTGTTTTTCAACATATAAGAGTACAGCAACTTGGTTCATGGAACCAAACAACCAATACTATCCAGGCATATGATTTCTTTGCAGTGGTGAAGGCTGGTGTAGAAGACATTGGGGTTTTATTTATTGTTGTGAAGAACAAAAGAACCATCAGGCTGAAAAGAAGATAATAGATTTAAAGATTAAAATTAAGTAAAATGTTCAATATATATATATATATATATATATATATATATATATATATATATATATATTATTTAAATGTTTTAGAAGAGCCAAATACAAAGAATTGGTGCCCATGGTGTGCCACAAGGTCCTTAAACAACCCTCCTCAGGTTTTGAATTCAGATTCATTTTTTACACAGACCAGTTGCTACCCAATGCTATAGAACCCTATTCACCTATAGCTAGGGAGGAGAAGAGATGAATCCTTATCTTTCTCAAGGGTATTTGTACATAAGTGAATGTGACAAACTCAACTGCTATTCAATCCCAGCTCTTCAATTCCTCAATCAAGGCTGCTATCTCTTACTCCATCAAGCATCCACATACATAGATGCTTGATGGAATAATTAGAATCTACCACCTGATGAGACCTTCATGGTTGAAACCATGGTAGCAGGTGTGTAAGTGATTCCTAACTTTTTAATATATATATATATATATATATATATATATGGTCGTAGGAATCAACACTGCATGGTGAATGCTACTTTCATGTTTCAATGTGATTTTCAGACAAAATCTCTCTCTTTCTCTCACTTAGATACACACAGACACACATAAAAGTAGACATTGAAGTCAACACCCAGAGGTGACAGTCTGTTTCATGCTTAAACTCAATTGCCAGACCATATGCATTGTTTTTGCTCAACTATTTATATATGCAGGCCAGCAATGCATTGTGGGTAGTCTATTGTATTATTTGTGCAATATTAATCCCAGTCCTACCTCAACAAAAAACATGGCTATGATGAGGATAGGTCAGCTGCTAGCAAGTCGGTTCACTGTGTCTTGCTAGACAAGTTTTCAAGCCAGAATCTATCTTGCATATTTATAAGTCAACTATTGATCCATGCATTGCTTCTACATTTGGTCTGGTATTTCTGTTATTTATTTATTTATTTTTTTACAGTAAGGTTCACCCTGTACAAATCCCGGGAGCCACTCAAGCTAGAAGGTTACATTTCAGAGGTATTTTATACAGATAGAAGAGGAAGATAACAGTTAACCCTAGACCCAATCAGGTTAAGACTGTAGTGATCGTAGAAATGTCCTCTTGGGAGTTGGTTCCACAGCGCAGTAGTTCACAGAAAGAAGCTATTTCAAGTGGAACTTACTTCTCACCAATGGAACACAGAGGGAATGTAGTTGGTTTGCTACAATGTGAGTGACATGGCAGGTCCTAGCCATAATAGAACTAGCAAAACCAAGTAATGAAGTTCGTCTATGGAAGTAGCGACAGAGCAGTGAGAGGCTTGCTACATCCCACATGTGGAAGAGAGGTTGTAAGGTGGAAGATAATTTGTCACCCACAAGAACTTGGAGATGCTTTTAGACTCTATCAAGACTGGAGAATAAGGACTGGGCAGTTCTCGCCCTAATATAGCAACAATACTCCATTTTAGGCCTGATCTGTCCTTGTAAATGTAGAGGATAGCATGTGAAGTCAGGTACTTACTGGAGCAATACAAGAAGCCAACCATTTTTCCTGCAGATTCTTGACAAAATCCAAAGAAAAATCTTAACCTCACTTTCCCAATTCTGTAATTCTTTGCTTTCTCTATAAATATTTGTCATGGTAATTGTTCTGACGAGCTTTCCTCATTGGTACTTCAGTTGAACAAATTTAAATACAGTACTAGATTGACAGTTAGGTCTCATAATTTCACAGTTGAAATTGTTAGATTTAACCATAAATTCTAAGCTAATTGTTTCTTCTCTTGTATTTTTTGATGGCAGAACTCTCTTCCGGCTTCCTGTCAACTATGATCTTCAAAAATTAAAATGCAACATCAATCCTTCTGCCTCCTTGTTTCCTGTTCTTTTACTGTCCTCTCTCACTGTCAGTAACCCGTTGCATCTTAGTGGCTTTTATTGCCTTGCTTGGGATGAAATAATTAAATAAAATAAATAGATTTCACAGGCTATATGAAAAGAACTTGAGTATGTTCCTTTGTGTATACAGTTATATGAACACCTACAACAGTAATATGACACATTTTTCAAATATGAGTAGATGGGTTTGCCTGTCGCTCAGTTCACACACCTCCTCGGTATTTTGAAATGGACTAGACGTTTATCCCTTGTTTCCTGTTTAGGATTGAGTTTCCAGTTCCTTCTCTTAGAGTGTTCTCATTCTCTTTAACTCTCAGCAACCCCCTGGCATCTTACTGGCATTATCACCTTGCTTCGAGTAAAATGATTTTTTTTTAAAAACATCTCTACAACATTTTTAATATTAATTGTAGACTCTTTCATGTAAATAATTATCTGAAATATTAATTTATATTGAAAATTAAAATATCTTATTTAAAAATAACAATGATGAACTTGAAAATAACATTTAAGTGATATATATATATATATATATATTTGTACATTTTACTTAATTTTAATCTTTAAATCTATTATCCTTTCTTTTCAGCCTGGTGGTTCTTTGTTCTTCACAACAATCAATAAAACCCCAATGTCTTATATCCTTGGAGTGTTGATGGCAGAAAGGGTATTACGATTGGTGGCTCCCGGCACCCATGATTGGAAGAAATTCATCTCTCCTCAAGACCTTATGTTTCTGATAGAAAATAGTAAGCAAAAATATTTTCTGTTCTTTTAATATCAACAGAAAAGCTAATCAATTTGTTTTCTTGTTTTCTTTCTACAGAATTCTTTGTCATACACAATTCCTGTCAACATGAATAAACATTAATTTTTACCAGAAAGAATTTACACCAATCCAATTAATTTTCCTCAAAGTATTTAACCATAAATATGACCTGAGGTCATTTTTTTTGTATAGGTAACTAAGTGATTAAAAGAAATGGCATGGATCAGAGAATAGACCAAGATAAAAAAAAAATCATAGAAATGATTAAACTATTAAAATGTATGCTTACAGGACACACAATAAAAAGTAATGTTTACAGATGGAGTAAAAGGTTGCTTGGTGCTCAATGAGTAACAAAACATAGTAGAAAAAGAGCAGATGCCATTGCTTGTGGAAGGTCTAATGATGAATACACATCTACAAAAAATGTTAAAGAAAATTCTCCCTATTTTTATGAGCAGATCATTCAATTTAAATAAGATTTGTCTATGTTTTGATGAATCTTCATTGTTTTAAATCTTTTCTAAAAGATTAAAAAATCATGCATTACATGCAAATCAGCATTGAAAAAGGAAAATAATTGCTGATTAAAATAAGGATAATTTTATTTTGTAAAAAGAAAAAACAAGATGACAACGATCCGATGCTCTAACATAAAAGATAAAAAAGTCTTCAATCCAATTTGCAAATGATTCCATTTTTCAAGGGGGCTAACTCCATATATAGTAAACGGTTTTTATAGAGTATTTTCCCTTGCATATCTACACTCGCTTTCTCTCATTCTCTCTGTGTAGTGCCATCTGGGGATTTTTCGGCTTATATTCTTATTTTAGAAGTTTCATAGACCGGTAGAAACTAATCGTACTATGGAGAAAATTATCTGAAAAATAATAAGTTCACCATACCAAATAAGCGCCTTAAAAGAAATAATTTAATCATGCCAGTATTTGTATTTGATGCACATGATTATAGAATACAATGATTTTGGTTTTTGTATTGTTTCACCTCAAGCAAGCCAATAAAATTCACTAGACTGCAAAGGGTTATAGAAAGTATAACAGAGAGGACAATAAAAGAACAGGATTCAAAGAGACAGAAGATGACAACTGATATTACATTTAAGTTTTTGAAGATTGTGTTTGATAAGAAAGAAGCTAGAAACAAGATCCACAAAGAAGAAGTACAAGAGTAATTTAATATATAAAGTACCTCCAAAATCATGCACACTTTCAATACATGGAAATAAAAAAAATAATAATAATACTGTTTTTAAAAAATTTACCAAAGATCAGGTTTGCAGCATTTATTTATTAATAAATGAACTTTATATAGAATTATTTTATTTGTAAGTTTTATGTAAGTATTTTTTTTTCGGGTCAATTATATTTTTCATTTTTTTTGCAGATTAACATTAGACTGGTTTCAAATAAAACCAAAATTTAATTTCAAAGAAGATATCTGAATTATTTAAAAAGAATTTTTTAAACTTTTTTTTTTCTTCTTAGAATGTCAGTGAAAATAAAATATTCCATTGTTAATATAACAGTAATTTTTCATGATTTTAAAAAGCAGAATTATTTCTTAAATGTGACAGTAGAATTAATTATCTAAATAAAAATCCTTGATGAACCATACAAAAAATATAACTATGGCAGTTGCAAAATTACTTAAATATGGCAATCATTTTTTGATGTCATGAGTAAAATAGTTAAAGTCTAAATGTTATTAATAGGAAGCACCTCGACATCAAGCTTTTCATGTTCTTAAAAAACCTCATCAATTTGAGACTTTCATAAGGCTATCATGCATGGCACCAAATCCATTTAGAAATATCTAAACTGTCAGCTGTATACACTTGCTTTCTAAGATAAATGGTTAATAAATGTATTTGAGCAAGTGAAACCCAAGAGTTTTTGCAAAGACCATCCCTCTTTCAACATTGTGGACTGGCACTACTGAATCACAAAGAACTGTACCAAATAATTGAAACCACATCACTTGAAGACTTTCAACAGCAGCAACAACTAAAATGGATAGAACATGTAACTCAAAGAGAAAATAATGACGTAATTAAGATGTAGACATTCCAGATTACTTCAAGCAAAAGGTTAGGAAGAACCCCCACCAATACCTCAATCCTGAACTTGATAAACCTATTTTTCCTGAAAATTTGTAAAGATTTTATATATTTCAACCAAAAACAGTACTAGCTGCTTGGTCAATGAATGCCAAATGTTTTTTTGTAGGGAAATGGCCAATATTACCATTACCATCAATGGCTCTTTAAGCAAAGCTACAAAATTTTTTTTTTTTTTTTTCATATTTGTCAGTTTTTTTTTTGTTTTTTAATTCTCTTCTATTTTTATTAGGTGGCTGTTCAATCAGATTGTTACATGGCATGAAGTACCAACCCCTCAGCAAAAAATGGTGTTGGACATCTGACACAAGCATCAATTACGCTCTCCATGCCGTGAAGAATAAAGAGCAAAATCACTAGATGAGGATTTGAGTTTTTTTTGTTTTTTTTTTTTATCGATTTGAAACTAGTTTTAGTTTCATAATAATTATCTTGTAAATAAATTACATAATAAATTTGAAATTGTATTTTATTATTTATTAATAGAGTTAAATGACAAAAACTAAGCTAATGACAATTTAGTCAGGCTTGTATGATATTTTCATTACCAGTATTGATACTATTTTTGCATTTAGTAAATACAGAGGTGCTTCCCTTATCCATTGTTTCACTTACTAGTGGTCAGTCCCAGAAATAAAAAAATCATCAGGTTGACATATTGATGGTCTCAAAGGATTATTTAAAAAAAGCCAACGAGAAATCATAAATTGCTTCCTTTTGTGAAAAATTTAAAGTTTTTACTTTATAAAGAAAAAATTTGGCAATGTTTAACCTTTCTTGCCCACAAACCCCCCACCACCACCCCCGAAAAACAACAACAACTGTGTGAAAAGGATGGTTATTCCCTTGGCACTACCATTACTGTCAATACTTTTGTATCGCTCAGCCATGTTTATTTACAAGATTATAGAAATATGTGAACCAAGTACAATGTTATATAAGAAAGTGAGAAATAATCATATTTGGCAAATACATACTAGAGACGGGTGGTTTAACTGAAAAACCAAGTTTTTTCAGTTTCATCTTCACACTGAAACCGCATCAAATTTTTTTACAAAACCGAAATTGTTCGTTTTTTTTAAGTGCTATCACTACTGAGTGACCATATCCAAAGAAACTCTATTGAAAAAGATTTTCAGATGTTAATAAAATTAAATTTTAGCAACATTTATACCATTGTAAGAGAAAAAGATTGAACAAAATATGTTAAAAACATTTAATTGACTAGTTTTAGGAAATAAATGTGAAATCTATTTGTTTACCAAAGAAATGAAGAAGGGAAAAAAGAAAATACGAAAGGATGTCTGAAATCTATTTGTTCCAGTTTTTAAAAAAATACATTTTGTTGTAAAATTAAGTTAACAACAAAATAGCAAATAATGCTAAATAAAAATAGTTGCCAGTTTTGTCTTTATGTTAAATTTTATGAAGTCAGATTTTTGTAAATGTAAAATTGTTTTCTACTAAGAAGCTAGTACACCAATCATAGAATAAAGTTGTTGTAAACAAGAAAAATGAATTAAGTTTTTTGTTATTTTTTTTTTATAAATAAATTTGTTTTTTATCTAGGGGATGCACCTAAATTAGATATTAAGAATAATTAAAATAGTTCTTAATTTTACTTTTAAAATGTGTATATTTTCAGATATGCAAGTCTAGTGTAAGTAAAATTGTTTGTTTTTTACAAATAAAATTATGTTTCTATCTAGTGAATACACCTAAAATTAGAAAAGAATAAAGTAAGTTTTAATCTCACTTTTAAAATAAAAAATATTTTCAAAACTGAAAGTCGTTTTTTTAAACCCAAAGTAAAAATTATTCTTTTTTTAGCCACTAATGTTCAGTCGGTGTTTTACTGTTCTGTCTATAAAATTCTTCTAAACATGAAAAATTAATTCATTTTATTTTTACAAATATCTTTATGGTTTTATCTGGTGAACACACTTAAGATTATATATTAAAATGATTAAAATAGTTTTAAAATTTTTATCTAAAAAAGAACAGCTAATACTTGCAGATTTGGAAATATACACATTCTAAAAATGAAATTAAAAGCTTTTATTTTTAATATTTAATTTTAAGTGTATTCACTAGATAAAAACAAATTTATTTAAGAGAAAAAATAACTCGCTGATTTTCTTTGTTTAGAAGAAATTTATTTGCAAAACCCGAAAAACAGTTGACTGGCATACCAGAAAAGAATTGCCGTATTTTAAATTAAACATGAGGGGCTTTATTTTTTGGCTTTTTAAAAGCAAATTATTATCAGCATTTCTGGATATAAATGGAAGAATTCTTTACCTCTAAATAAAATAATTAATCACTCGAAAACAAGTGTCAGACAGTAGTTTCAATAATTTGAAAGTTCTTTACCACATTTATTACTATCAGTTTCTTTTTTTCTTCTTTTTTTTTTTGCTTACTTTATAATTTTTGAAGGAATTTGCTTCCTCGGGTCAGAGAAGAAATTAATATCTTCCTGGTTGTAGTTTAAGGTGTTTTCTAATTGAGTGTACCATTTCAAGAATATTGATAAAGATTGGTCAATTTGATTTTGCAAAACAAAGTAACGTGTAAAATTTAGTCTCAGAAAAAAAATCATATTTCACATTTTGGGCTGTTTGAAGCAAAATACCATTTTAACTGGCTGTAAAAAAAAAAAATAATTCAATGAATAAAATAAAAGCACATACAAATTACATATTTAGAAAGATTCTTTTTTTTTTTTTCTTTCCAGCCATATGAATATTTTTAACATTGGACCAGAAATACACGAGAAATTGCAAATTTATTAATCTCAAATAAAATCAGATATCAACTGGAAATGCTATCATTACACAAGAAAACAAAAATACTAAATTAAAAACTGTTTTTCTTAGAAAACAAAAATACTAAATTAAAAACTGAAAAACCAAATCAAAAACTGCAGTATCAAGGGGGGGAAAAAAACGGAATACCGAAACTTAAATTGCCAAACCAACCAACTCTAGTACACACACACACACACACACACACAAAGAGAAAAAAATTAACCCAAACACCAATGACTAGAGCATAAATTAATTTTAACTTATTATAAAAATAACAGAAATGATAAAAATCTGCAATCAATTGCTGAAACCTCCTAATACAGAACAATTACAAAAATTGTTCATCTATAAAACTCCAGAGTCAAGGGACTGAATATAACAGCAATCAGTTATGTGACAAATTTTATTTGTATTAATCTTATTTACCTTTTATAAAGATTTATGTTATAGACAAGCGTATGGTTGCAAGAAAGAAATACGACAACAGTAGAAATAGATTTACATGGTTTATTTCAACAGGAACGTGAGGGTTTGGGACAGCTACCTTGTGGTAAAGTTCATAAGCCGGCTTTCGGATCTGGTCGATCTCTCATAGTAGTTCACACATGTTGACGATGGTTGACGCTCCCCTGCTGCTGATCGCTCGGCCTGACCATCAGGTCTGTTTGCTGGCCACCTGTTGACTGACTGTTGAACTTCCGTGTGACCCCTTTTATAGCGTTTTTTTTATGGCTTAACAGGCTCGAGAAACGAAACGAGTATAATTAGGAGGGAAGCATTTTTATTGGACGAAAAATAGAGCACTTTAAATATTTTATTTTTCGACCGGAACACGTGTATCGGAAACATTTGTAAAGAAAGATAATGGTCATTTTGTGACGGGGCTTTGTCCCGTTTACATCCGGTTCTCGCTCTTGAGTATTTGCCTGTAAATCAGCCGAGATATGTCTTATTTTATAACATTTATAATTTACTATTTCATAAAGATATAAATTTGAAAAGAAATCAATTTAAAAAAAAAATTTATAAAAATTACAAAATTATCAAAATATGTAAACCAACTGCAATGCAATATTTATTTACCATTTTATAAATAACTAGGAAAACAATGTATGATTCATCTAAAGTCTAAAATTAAAAGAATTTTTCTTCAGAGCAAGAAATGCCCTCAATCTATTTTTAGTGAATTTATGTAGTAAGTGCAAATGAAAGAAATGTCTTGGAAATCCATTTTTTTTTTTCAAAATTTATAATTACAGTTATTCGTTGTTCATTGTGATGTGTTTATTTAAATTTTCTTACTGTGACGTTTTTATAAATTTATTAATAAAAAATTTCTTTTCATAATTATTTTTGTTTTATAAAATGGTAAATCAAATATTTCATTATAGATGGCTCACATGTTTTTATCATCTTGTAAATATAAAATTATTCTTGTAAATAAGCAATCTGATAAATAGTGTTTAATATCTTTGTCAATTCTCAAAAATAAAAAAATGTATATATCCATTTTCATATGTTTGGGTTGTATTCTAAATATTGCTTTTTAAAACAAACATTGCTTAAGGAGGCAAAAGTGTATACAGTAATAGCAGCATCAAGGGAACAATCATTCTTTTGATGCAGCAAATTTTCTCTTTTTTTTTTTTTTTAAATATCTATAGTAAGAATTAATCATCTTTCCCTCATAATTTTTACTACAGTACTTTGTTATAAATGTTCTATTTTATTATCAGTTTTTGTTGCTAATCTTTTTTCCCTAGATACCCCTATTACTCGATTTGACAATTTTTTTTTAGCTATTTTTTAATGAAACCCTAAACACAGAAAACTGGGTTTAAGCATTCTCTTTTGTCTTGAGAATTGAAAACAAAAGTATTAAACACTGTTCTTGAAAATAAAGTCTAAGTAAATGGTGTTTTAACATTTTTCTTGTCATTTTGAGAGAGAAAAAAGCAGAAATCCACATGCTCACAAACTATTTTAGTAAATTTATGCAATGAGAGCAAATGAAAGAAATGTTCAGAAAAGGTTTTTTTTCAAAATGTATAATTAGAGCTTCTTGTAGTCCATTGTATGTTTATTTAAATTTTCTTCTTCTCTTTATGAATAAAACAATATTTCCATAGTTATTTCTATAAAAATAAAAAAATATTGTTTTGTAACTGTTCACATATTTTTCTAAACGTATAAATATAAGATTATTCCTGTAAATATACAATCTAATCAAATAGTGTTTAATTTTTCTTGGCAAAAAGAGAATGAATAAATCAAGTTTCGTATTCTTGGGTTTTATTAAATTTCTAAAAATAGCTTTTTAAAATAACAGAAATTGACAGGGGAGTATTCAGTAATAGCTGTCAGGAGAAAAATCTTCCTTTTTATGATGCTATTTTTGGTAAGTACCAATGTTAAACTTTGTCAAATCTTCTTTCCTTCACATAACTCTTATTACAGTATATTGTTAGAATTGTTCTATTATTAGTTATTGTTAATCTCTTATTGTGCCTCATAAAATCCCAAGTAAGAACAACTCTTCTGTCTATCATGTAAATTATATTCCAGCATATTGTTTTTGTTGTTCTATTTCATTATCAGTTATTGCTGTTAATTTCTTGTGCCTTATTTATAAATTGAACTTTATCATTGCTGTATATGTATTGGGGGAAAAAACATAGTGGAAAAGCTAAAACTACTATGACCTTCAAATAAATAGGCCTTTTAATACAAAAGGATATTAATAAAACAAATAATATCAAAATGAATAATTTATTCAATATAGCTTCCATTAATTTTAATTACAACTTCAATAGGATCTTGAAAAGTTACTCATCTCTTGACCACAAAGACCTTGGATATCTTTGCAAATTCCTCTTTGATAGAAGTCTTAAGGATGTTGATGTTGGGCTGAGAGGTCTTGTTAGTAGCCCACTTGAAAATGCCCTGCATAGCTTCGTGGGTCCAGGTTTGGGCTGAAATGGGAAAAGAATTCCATTGGCCAGAAATCAGCAATCCAGCATTTTACAGAACAGTTTACAATCCTATTTACCTGTCACAAAATACAAATATTCCCACTTTTCCTGAAGTTTATTTCTCCTTGGCAACATTCTTTTACCTTAACATTGTTGATATTTTTTTTTCTTTACTTATGCAGTTGACCAAAATCAAGTTTTTTTTTTTCTTGAAATTCCAGTTCACTTAACAATCTTTGATCAAACCTCTTTCTAACATGATTTTCTGTTGTTTGTAGTTTTTGTACCTCAATAAATGATCGAATCTATTCCTCCTGTTGTTATGAAAGAAATCCTTATTTTCTGTTGGGTATGATGGTTATCTGTCACCTTGTACACCCAATCCACTCAAAAATGTTATCAAATATATTCCTTCTTTTGCTATGAAAAACAATCCTCATTTTCTGTTGTGTGTTTAGTCTGTCATTTCAACTACACCCTTACACCAATATGAGTAACCAAATTTTCTCACCTTATAAAAAAAAAAACTTTCCATTATCTCCTGTCTAATTTAGTTGTAATCACATCCCAATCGCTCCTTCATCTCAAACAATTCCCTGAAACATTCTTTAATCATTTCTCTAATGTTCTTATCAAGACTGTTCTTTTAAATGTATATAAAATTTCAATGATTATTTCCACTTTCCCTGATATGCCAAATTTATTTCTTCTAAAATTAAAAAAAAAAAATATTCACATATTATTGCAGAGTACATTTGTACTCTCCTAAGCTTTAGGTAATGGTGAGTAAGTCAAACTCACTGCTGCTACTGTAAAAGTATGGAACATGGAAAAAGACAAATTATTAAAATTTGAAGAAAATACTGGTTGCGAAAATGGTTCCTAACGGGCTGTGTTTGAGACCCTAGAATTAAATAAAGACCAAACTAAGTTCAAACTGATTAACTGAAACTTAAAAATTTTTTACTTATTTTGAATTGCATGCAATGTTAAATAAATTCCGACATTCAGTAACTTTTGATTTGACTAATTTAGATCATTTTCTCCAAAAATCAAAACAATCAGAATAGGTAACAATACATTTATTTTGAAATCAGCTAGAAAAGAACAAGACAGTCAATTTTTTCTTTCTTTCTTTCTTTTTTCTTCACATATTTTCAGCAAAACTTCAGTTTCCTTGATCTCTTCTGCAGACATCAAGGCTTACTCTTTATTCTCCTCCGAGTACAAGATTCCCAGGTTAATATTTTATTGTAGTCATACCACTGCTGAAGACAGTAGGATGGTAAGTTTGACAATCTCAACAAGCATCTTGTGGGTCACAACTTTCATCTTACCTTTATGCAAATTACTTCTTTTATGAACAATTTATGACAACCTGAATAATCTCTTCCTCTTATAAATCCTGTTTACTTAGCAAATGTAACCGGTTTATCATTGTTTTTACCAGGAATTTTTTTTAAAAAAGTCATAAGAAAATATAATTATTTCATAACAATTTTGGGTTAAAACGATCTTTGATTATTTTTTTTTTTTTAAAGTAAAATAAATATTTTTTTTTTTTTCAGGGTGAGGGCAACCTGCTGTAAAAGTGTCACCACCATCTGTCCACAAATATTTGATTTGTCTTGAGCCCTAACTCTTGTAATAATTTTTCTATAGTTTCAATCATAGAAACTGGTCCACAAATGTATGCTAGACATTCTTCTTTCTTGATGAACTTGAATGCATCTTCCAAGTCTGTTTTGTTGATACGATGTCCTGTAAATAAAGTTAAAAAAAATTTAATTTAAAATTAAACTATAACTGAATATATATGTGCGTGTATATATATATATATATATATATATATATATATATATAGTTTTTTATATATCAAGAACAATTTTGGGGAAAAGTATGACCCTTTGGAAAAAGTTTTCATGTGACATGTTTCATCTGTTAGGCATTCATCAAACTAAGTTTATGTTTACATTGATGTGACCACACACACACACACATGTATTCTTCTTTAAGGATCCTTTTCAATCAACACTTCATCAGAAGAATACATTGATCAATATTAAATTTACAGAATAACAATTCACACTGCAAGAAAATAAAAATATATATATTAATCATTTCACCCCAAAAAAGGCAATAAAGTCACTAAGACACAAGGAGTAACTGAGTGTGAGAAAATATGAGAAAAAGAAAACATTATTAAGAGAGAACAATAAAAGAACAGGAATTAAAAAGACAGAAGATAATAATTGACGTTGCATTTAAATTTTTGATGATCAAAATTGACTGGAAAGCCAGAAGAGAGTTCTACAAGCAAGAAATGTGAACAAAGAAACTTAGCATAGAACTTAGTGACATCTAGCAATTTCAACTCTAAAATGATGAGATCTTGCTGCCAATTTAGTAGTACACTTAAATTAATAGTCTAGGTACCAAAGAACATCAGAAAAATTACTATGAAAATACTTATAGAAAGACACAGGGAACCTATGATACAGCAATTGAAGAGTGACTGAAGTCAACATGTCAGGACCAATATTTTTTGTATTTTATCAAGAATCGCAAAATAAACAAAATATTTCTTTTCAAATATATTTCTTTATAATATAGTAAATAAAGAATCTGTATAAAAGATAAATAATAAATATCACATTGTACTTGGTTAACATATTTTTATAATCTTGTAAATAAACATTGCCGGGAAAGTCAAATGTGTCTACAGAAATAGCAGTCAAGGGAATAACCATCCTTTGGAAACACCTTTTTTTTGCAGGCACAAAGGTTAAACATTGCTAATTATTGCATGTATTTGTTTCCTGAGATATTTGAAAATCTTGCTGATACTATAGTATGATATCTAGTATTCATTTTCTACTATGGTATGATATTTGCAAAATGTTGGAAATATGAAATATGTTAGGGTTAGAGTTAAAGGCAGTGAACCATAGTCTGGTTATATATTAAAAATCATTAACAATTTTTTATACAAAAAAAAAAATCAAATAGTGATTTTAATGTTTGTAAACTGATTTGATATCATAAAAAAAAAGCAGTAAACAGATCATTGTTTTTTCTGAGCATTTTCCAGCAATAATGAGTGCATCATTATTTATGGTTACTCGTAGTATAGACCAAAGGTTGGCTCTGTGAGTGAAGAAACTGTAATTATAGGAAAATAAAAATTTCACTATTTCAAAAAATAAAGTACAGAACTACCTGGGCTTGCCACAAAGAAATAAAACCAAAAAGATAAAAGAGGCCAAAAGGTCATCATTTCCACAATATAAGTGAAGTAAAAAAACTGAAGATTGTCAAATGAGTCACATACATGAACCAATCAGAAAGCAGGAAACGATTTTAAAATGAATTCCTTCATCTCTACAATCAGATAAAGAAACCAGAGTCAATGAAATAATTTTGTCTGTTTCCCTATGCCCTACCTTATCTGAACACCTAAGCCCTTAGAGAGTCAATAGAATTACTTCTACCAAATACATGCATACACATTAAGATTACAAGGACAGACTGACTCTCTCTCTCTCTCTCTCACACACATTTATATGCTAAAGGACTTAGGCATTCAACACAAGAACCTTCTAATATGAACTTATAAACTAGTTTAAATATGTATATTTTAAGATATATATAAAACTTTATCAGTACATGCAAAATACATTTTTGTTTTGTACTAATTAAGTTTTCATTCATTTTTAATAGACCAAAAATTGATGTATATTGGGATAAGGACATTATCCAAAGATAGCCACCAGTAAACCCATAAAAGCCACATTAAATTCAAAATCATATATATCCCAACAAGTGTAAACTAAATAACAAATAATCATTAAACCCCACAAAATAAATGGGCCTGAGTAGACAGTCATGCTTGAAAACCAGCAACCATGCTGATGATGAGAAATTACACTGATTTGCAGCATGCCTTCAAGTTGAAACAGTTCTGATGATCTTGGATACAATTTTTTTCTATCAATCTTAAATATCATTTTTTTTTCTATCAAAGGAAAGTTTTTGATATCCCAACTTCAAAAAGTTTTGCCATACCAACAATGTAAACAACTTTCCAAGAAAAGTTTAAAAATTACTTATTTTTGTTAAAAAAAAAAAAACACAATGTAAAGTTAATCAGCTTTAAAAATAAGTATATTTTTTTTAAAAAATATTACCAATAGAATACAGCCACTTCTAACTTAAAAACCTGATTTCATTCCACCGACCTGGTTGCTCTGTGGAGTGAAGATGGAAATAAACAGCAAGACAGTCAAACACCAAATAACAAAAAAATAGTTTCTGAGCCAGAGGATTCAAACATCCTTCTGGTTAATAAATTAATACTTTGAAAATAAATATTTAACATTTTTCAACCAATGGGTCATGTTACCATCAACAATAAAAAAACATGCCTCATGATCCCTTTGAAGAGTATATAAGCCAAATCCCTAGACCAGACAAGCAGTAAATTTATTTATAATCCAAATGGAAATGGTGGCATGAAAATAAAATATAAAATCAGGAAGAAATATGTTTCTTGTTACAAACCTTTTATGTTCCCTTGTGTTGGCTTTTCTCTTGTAACAAAATATTTACATTTAATGTTTTCATTATTTTTTTCCAATTCATCCATTTCATACTGCAACAGAATGTCAAAATTAAAATAATGATGAAATTTTTTTAACAACTAATCATGGAATTATAATTTCTAAATGAACAGTTTTTCTTTTTTTTTAAATTGCAATGATGTAAAATAATTCCAGAATTGTTGGAATATTTCAAGATGATACTGTCTTCCCATTGTGACATATGACAAGAGTGTGACTCATTTAATAATGACAAGAGAGCAAGAAGTTTAAAATTACTTATTAAATTTAAAAAAAAAAAAAAAAAAACAAAGCGTTGCATCATAATTACATTCAGAGATGGTAATTTAATACTTTAAAAATAAATTTAAAATAAATATGAAAATATAAATAGATCAGATTATCCCATAAGTAATATCTCAAATCTGATGACAATGGATTGAATGGTGTTTTCACTATTTTGAAATGTCCAAATGATAGCAATGCAGGTCAGTATGTCTTAATTTTTAAATGTTATGTCTCTGTACATTTCAACTAATTTATTAATTTGATACCAGTAAAGATGAACATAAGACATGTAATGCTCTATGAGTTTAGAAAAAGCAATAATGCTGCAAAAGTAGCCCAAAATATATTTATGGAATAGATTCTTAAAACAAAAGAAACTGCATAAGATTTGAAAAGTTTAAACAAAAAAGCAGGACAGATTAGTGGTATATATATATATATATATATATATATATATATATATATATATATATATATATATATACATATATATATATATATATATATATATATATATATATAATTCTTATAAAGATATATATATAAAATATATATATAGAATATTTGTTTGTAATATATATATATATATATATATATATATAATGTATATGTATATATATATATATTTATATAAATATATACACACACATAATACACAAGGTTTTCCACACACACAAATATATACACATGTGTGTACGCACACAAACACATTTACAAATAGGTTAGTATGTAACAAGAGAATATATATATATATATATACATGTAAGGTATGTATATATATATATATAAATACAATGTATATATATATATATATTATAAAGTATATATATATATATATATATATACATGTATGTATATATATATATATATATATGTATGTATATATATATATATCATATGTATATAGATATACATAATATGTATATATATATAAGTATATATATATATATACATCAGATATATATATATATGTGATGCTATATATATATATATGTATATATATATATATATATATTTCCATATACATGTATATATATATATACTGTATATATATTAGATATGGCATATTTTAGCATTCCTTTCACTTCTAATTCCTTTAGTAGGGGAGAATATTTTTTCTGAATTTAGTATTGTATGCTCAACTCTCGAAACTTCAACCGGTGTCTGATAATAAATCCAGCGACTTTCGAGCTAAATTGAATGATTTGGCTCATTCTTATCTAGTGCTCCCATTTCTTTCTCTGAATCGAAATGGAGAAGTGAACACCATAAGGTTATTAGATCCCTTAAGGATAACCATTCTTTGGTTATTACTAAACCGGATAAAGGGATCTGGTGTTGTCCTCATGGACCGCCATGACTACATTAACAAAATGTTAACTATATTGAATGACCTTTCCAAGTTTCAACGTCTTGGTTCCATTGACACTCATGATTCTACATTGACTTCTGAAATTCGATTTCAGAAGCGTCTTGTCAAATGGGTAAAAAGTGGTGTTCTTTCCTCTAAAATGGCGGAGGAATTGAGACCGTCTGGTTCTATTCGTCCCGTCTATATGGATTACCTAAGATTCATAAGGAGGGTGTCCCGTTGAGACCCATATTATCGATGATTGGGTCTTCACAGCATAAAAGTCAAAAAAGTGGCTTGCTATAATGTTGCAACCAGTGTTGCAGCATTACAGTTCCTTTGTATTAAAGATTCATTTTCTTTTTCCAAATTCATTCGGAATTGTGATGCCACTGATGGATTTATGTGTTCCTTTGACATCTGTAGCCTCTTCACTTGTGTTCCTTTATCGGAGACTATTGATATTTGCAGTGATATGTTATATCGCAGTGATTTGACTCCTCCGAATATACCTGAAGAAGTGTTCGTTGAACTCATGAAATTTGCCACTATGTTTGTCGATTTCAGTTTCGACAATATCATGTCGTCAGATCGATGGTGTAGCGATGGGTTCCCCTTTAGGTCCTGTTTTGGCAAATATTTTTGTGGGTTTTATGAAGAAAGCCTTTTGTTAAGTTCTGCCCGACCCAAGGTTTTACTTTCGGTATGTTGATGACACTTTTTGTGTGTTCAGCCATGAATGGAAGTGGATCAATTTTTTTCCCTACTCAATGGTGTTCATCCTGCCCTTAAATTTACAGTAGATAAGGAGGTCAATGGTTCATTTGCCCTTTTTAGATGTTCTTGTTCAAAGAACTCCTTCCTTGTTTATTACCTCTGTGTACAGGAAGTCTACTTTTACAGGCCTATATACACGTTGGGACTCCTTTTGTCCTAAACAACAAAAGATTAATTTGATTAGGACCCTGACACATAGGCGTTAATGATCTGTTCGGATGACACCTTGAAACATGAAATCAGTTGTTTAACTGAGATCTTTGTGAACAATGGTTATCCGTTGAACATTGTTCAATCGGTTATTCGAGATGAGACGCTAGGTTCAACAAAATCAAACCTGCTTCAGTTGGTAAATGTCCGGTCTATCTTCGTTTACCGTGGTTGGGTAGGATTAGTGAATCGCCAAGGCGTATTTCATGTAGTTCACGTGAGTGTTATTTTGCAGCGAACGTTCGTGTTTTTTTCAAACTAGGTCTGTACTTCCATCTATGTGTAAAGATGTTCTACCCCCACACCATATTAACTCTGTTATTTACTATTTCAAATGTAGTTGTGGATGCGACTACATAGGTAGAACGACACAGCGGTTGGACGTGAGAATTAAACAACACGTACCTGCGATAATACTAAACAAAAAATTTTCTTTAGGCGATACCATTCGTAACACTTATGGGTCTTCGATTGCGGATCATTTTATAAAGAATCCAACTTGTGCGATGGATTTCAGTGTGAACTGGTTTTCCGTCTTGGCCAGTTTGCACTCACTTTTCCATCTCAAGGTGTTGGAATCGCTTTACATCAGGTCCAGGCGGCCTTCTCTTTGCAAACAAAGAGATTGTTTGCTTGGACTTGCTGTTCTGCGCTTCTAGCAGCTTAGTTAGTATAATTTATCTTTCCTTCCTTCCCTGTCCATTCATTCATGTCACCCATGACAGACGTTTTTTCTTTTTTCCTCATAATCTAAATTCCCCCGTTAACAGTTCTGACGAGAGGGACGAAACCGGGTCGACTGGTGTGTGTTTTATTTTAAACTTATCATGGCCTGCAATACAACATTTCTAGTTTTTAATATATATATATACATACATGTATATATATATATATATATATATATATATACATACATACATATATATATATATATATATATATATATATATATATATATATATATATACATATATATATATATATATATATATATATATATATATATATATATATATATATATATATATATATATATATATATATATATATATATATATATATATATATATTATGTATGTATATATATATATATATATATATATTCATGTATGTATATATATATATATATATATATATATATATATATATATATATATATATATATATATATATATATATATATATATATATATATATATATATATATATATATATATATATATATATATATATATATATATATATATATATATATATATATATATACATGTATATATATATATATATATATACATGTATATATATATATATATATATCCTAGTAATTGATCTGTTGGTATATAAATCCTAGATTAAACTGATCTGCAGAGAGCTAGCAATGTATTTATTATAACAGAGCATATGTATTTTTTACTGCAAAAGAACAAACATTACTTCAACATGGGATAGTTTATTTCAAGCCATTCTGTACATGGCTATCATATTAAACTGCAAACAATGAAAGGTTCTAGCCATAAATAAACTCCAACCCCAGACCGTTCTCACCAGTTGCTAACACAAACCGATTCTCATTAACAATGCATCTACCAGAGGAGGACTGACATTGAAAATAAATTTAAAACAATGCTCCGAGACAGACACTTAGGGGCTGATGATAGCCGTGTACAGAATGGCTTGAAATAGACTATCCCATGTTGAGATAATTTTTGTTTTTTTGCTGTAAAAAATATATATATATATATATGTGTGTGTGTGTGTGTGTGTGTGGAGTTTCACATGTGAAAACCTAAGAATAGTTAGAGTGTTGCAGGAATGCTAATATGATTGCGTAGAAACATGTCTCCTGGAATAGTTACCTCATAACAATTATTGCAGACTCAATGTGAATCTAAGTAAAAAAATAACATAAAACAAAATAAAACAAACAACAAAGCATGTATTAACAAAAGAATTACATGTGATGAAAAGGAAAAAAAATATGAAACTAGCTAAGAATGCTTGTTTGTGTGTGTGTGAGAGAATATGAAAGTCAGGAGAGAAAACCAAGAAAATGAATGTGACCCAATGGAGGACACTTTTTTTTCCCCCACATGTGACTACATCTTATAGTCAGAGTTGAAAAGCTGTAAAAGAGAAAAGAAAGTAGGGAGAAAAATGCACGCTTTTTTATAGGCTTAAGGAGCATGCACTAAAGACAGTTTTTTTTTTAACAAATTCAAGTGGGATAACCCGCAAGAGCTTAAAATATGGTGTCAGGCGAAAACTAATACAAATTGGCTATCAGCAATCAGTAATCTGGTACTAATTTCTATGAGAGCAATTTTGGATTTCTTAGGTTTCCACATGACATGCCACTACTGTTTGGTGACATCAGCTGTTCTTGAATACTTTCAAACACAGTTAAGGTATTTTTGTCTTTTGACTATTTTTATTATAACCTGCTGGTGTTTAGCTCCAGTTATGGCTCCAATGAATAGGAAGTACTTCTCATTGGATCAAGCACAAATACCATACACTGTCCTTAACAGATAAGGTAGAACTTCTGAAAAAACCTTGACAGTCTATACAAAGCTTGTGTGATTTTTAAAGTTGTAACTCATCTATAGTTTATGGCATAACGAAACAGAGTGAAAAATTGCTTTCCATAAGTAATACAGCAAAATTACTTATCTACAGGTCCAGATGATATTGGATTAGGGATGGTCAATCTATGTGAGATTCTACTGGATGTAAAATGAGGGATTGATTTTATATTGTTAGTAAGTAATAAACTGATTCTTCCAGAAGTACCAATGTTCATCCAATACAAGCCCCAAGAGCCACTCAAGGTAGAGGGTTACTGTGTGGAGTTATATTGGTGTAGGAAAGGACAAGCATTAGGAGTATAGAGCTAAATTGAAAATCTCAGAATATTTAGAACTTAAAATAAGCAGTAATTTTTCATGGCTTGGCCAAATAAGTTAACAACAATTTAAATATTTGGATTAAGTAATAATAATTGAATAACATTCTATTTAGTATATGGACACTTCTCTGTAATATAATAATAATATGAATATCAAGTTTAAACCATTTTTATCCCACTGTCCTATTTTGGGGGACCATAGACATTAATAGATTATAGGTACAAATCTATAATTAATCCCGTCTTTTTATTTTAATTCTTTCAATTAATATCAGATTTCACAATGATCATTATGGATTAAGTAATTTAATAAAATTTTGATAATCTATTTTTTAAATATTTCGTCTTAAAAACTGATTGGAATTATTAGATATTCTACCAGGAGCAAATATTGTCCACACTTCATATAAAGTGTTGATTTTTGCAACAAAGTGGTAATTTACTGATGTAATGCTCTCCAAGATATATATTTAAAAAAAAAAGACACTTTGAAAAAAAAAAAACTTTACATTTGTTCCAAACTTTTTCTTTACATTTTTTGTGTTTCTAATTTTTGCCCAGACTCACATGAGTCTGCCAAATATTGTGTGTAAGACAGTAGCCATTAAACATTTACTAAAAAAACGTCCACACTGCGAAACAAAAGTGTTGATTCCTGCAATAATACAGGGTACAATGGGTAAATTGTCACCATTTTATATTTTTCATTTTATGTATGTGCATTGTTTGTCTTTGATTTTGTTGACTGCACAGTATAGTAGGGTCAGTTGGGTACCATCTGTGAGAAAAACAGTACCATGACACAATGCACTCCACCAGAAAAATTTGAAACAGTATGCTGTACTGCTTGGCATTTGCACCAGAAGCTCCAATACAAATATTTCAGAGTGCTTGGGTGTCAATCTGAGGATAGTGCAGAGGATTCGGAAAGAGTTGGCTGAGTCTTACAATGGTACAGCAGCTCAGAAAACTCACTTCAATCGTTCTGATAAAAAAAGAATTCCCAAATTTGTTGGTGTGTGTTGAGTCTAAGGCAACTCAACATGGAGACCACATCAAGTAAGCTGCCCTGAGTCAAGAGGGTGACTGCTGAAAGACCCTATGTCTGGCAACAGAACTCTGCACTATACTACACAAGCAGGAGAACCCATTCATGGCTGTCAGACAATTTCTGTGACCACATCATCCCTTACATCTAGCAACCTAACTCCCTAGATTGCAACATCTTTGATTATTATGTGTGGGGTGCATTTGTGTAAAAGACCAACAAAACTCCTTGTAACACCAAAGATGAACTGAAGGCAAGGATTATGGCCACATTCACCAACTTAAATAAGGAGACCATCCAGAAGAGATGCAGGAGATTCCAAAGTCATGGTTGAAGCCAATGGCAATTTTATTGAATAAATGTACTCTTTGGTATTTCAAGATATTTTTGTGCAATTGTGATAAATATATCTGTTAAAATGAGATGTCAGTGTTATTTTCATTTTTGCATAAATTAGGCAATTTATCCCTTGCGCCTTTTATATAAATTGAAAAATGGATAACTTTCAAAATCAGCATGAAAATTTGTGTTATATTTTGACCTAAGAGGAAATTATTTTTTGTTTAAATTGTTGTGATAACAACACATAAATCACTAAATAAACTCTAACCCTTATTACTTCACTATATAAGAGTATAAAATGAAAATAATTAATATTAATAATTAATTAATAATAAAAGAAAAATTAAATGTTAAGTAATAAAAATACTTTAAAATATAGATAAGAATGGTAATTAACAATAAAGGAAGAATAAGTTAGATTATAAAAAAAATAGTTAAAAAAATATAGAATACTCCCATGATGCACCAGGACATGCATTTTACTGCTAATTAAAACAAAAATCAAATTTGCTCTCTCTTTGGACACCAAAGGAGCAGAGGCCTGAAGATAGCTCTCTGACAGAACATGTGGCTACCAGCAGATATGCACAAACTTTTATCTCTGTATATATATATATATATATATATATATATATATATATACATACATTCATTTTTAAAATATATAATTTTTCTCCAAAATGTATACTAAAACATTTTATCATTTTTGTTTATGCTTATTGTATTTTATCTTGTATATGATTTGTTTGTAATTTATATATTTGCATTGTGGAGCTAATGATGTCTTTTTAATCCCCAAACAAAATTACATGTATATAAAAAAAGGAATGCATTCAAACAAGGCCAACACATCACCAGAACAACCCACAACAAAATTAAAGATAACCAAGAGACATAATATAAATTTGGCAGAATCACTTTTAGCATAAATTTGATCAAGTAAATAAAAGAGGGAAAAAATAAATGGTTTACCTTGAATAAAAGCTCCTCAGTCTTACTAGATGAATAGAGGAGAAGAGTGTTGACCCTTTTATCTTCACTTAATTGTTTTGGTGTTTTCAGTTTGTTGAGGTCAGCAATGTAGTTCATGATGCAATACAGTGGATTAATGCCCACTCCCCCTCCGAGCAATAAAACATCCCTGGGGGGATCATCAGGTTTGGGATCATAAACAAAATCACCTCCAAAACGGATTGAAACTTCATTTCCAACTTTACTCTGAAACATAAAAAAATGTAAATAACTTATTTTGTTCACAAAGAGATGTTGGTCTATCAGTTGTCTTCACTTTCTGCTTTAATAGATATCGCCCAGAGCCCAATGATAAAAAAGCATTTATTAGACACAATAAACATTAATTTTCAAACGTAATCTCCTTGTCAGTGCACTTAATTCAGTGGTGAATATTAATTGTATAGATCAAATGCTATACAATAAAAACATCTGATCAAAATTCACTCACTTATTCAATTCCCATAAAATCCACTGATTATTATGGGACCACAACTATCAACATGCTAGGCATTGTTGTTACAATTTCCTTAACAAATAGGCTTTTTATGGGAATGAATTACTAGCTCCATATCAAATTGGTTTTGAACTCACTATTTTCCTTCTCCTAGACTGGTTGCTGTTATAATATTCCTAAAACCAGATCATCTTCTGATTCATGTTACATTTTACTTACACATTCAAAGAAAAATACAATCCAGAATTTCCACCCACTCTTGCCTAAGAAACAAAATAAAACTTGGAGCCAATCTGAGCCTAAGAAAAGGTCATAAAAGCTCATCAAAGTGATACCTTCAGGAGTCAGACGGCCCAACAACCAGGATTCACAACACTCATCGAAACACAACCCCCCATTTCCAAAGACAAATCGCCAAAGGCCATCACCACAGTAAGTCACAACTCACCCTCCCTCTCCTAGTATACACCTCTGCGGACGACTTTTATGATTCTACTTATCTCCTTCCTTCAATGAGAGACATCTGCACCAATTTATCATTTATTGTATTTTTACGTTAATACAATTGTTTATTTCTTAAACCTCCATTGTTTCTTCTTTGTTCTGCTACCATATGCTTAATATAACATTGCCAACCAAAGCTGAGAAACCCAGTCAAGTCTACTATTTAACCTATAGCTGGGGGAAGAAAGATAGATTCATGTCTTTCACAAGAATATTTGCACAAAAATAAATGCAATGAACTCGAAGTCGACTTGCCAATTTCTTATTCCAAGCCACTAACCATTATGCCATCTGCTCATCGAAATTCAAACAAATAATTACATGTCAGGCTACAAACTTATTGATCAACCTTTCGTATGACATACTAGGTCCTTCATGGTATCTTTTGGTGCTGCCCATCCTCTCTCCAAGAAATGATATGAACATATACACAATTAAAAGTAAAGGAAAAGACATTAGAAAATTAGCTATTAACAATGTACTTATTTGTGTTTGTGATATACACATGTGTATGTAAACGTGTGTAAGAGTCCAATAGCTAGTGGACTGGAGAAATAAATGCTTGTGCCTCAGTGAGGATGTTTCTTATCTACATGCTACTACATCTTAGAGCAAAAAAAAAAAGAAAGAGAGAGGACGTTTTTTTTAGACTTAAACAGCACTGCCTAAAGGGCTTTGAGGCAAAGCTAAGTGTGGTAACTCACAGACTACTATTATAAATCTACAAGCAGAAACATCTGGTTTCCAATTAAGTGCCATATTTATTTGTTTATTATTTTCATCCCCTTTACTCCACACTAGATTTTGTGGAGTGAAGATGGAAATAAACACCAAAACACTGAATCATCAAATGACAAAAAAATGGTTTTTGAGTCAGAGGATTCGTGCATCCTTCCAGTTAATAAATTAATCCTTTGAAAATAAATATTTAATATTTATCAACCAATGGGTTGCATTCCTACCAACAATAAAAAACATGCTTCGTGATCCCTTTGAAGAGTATTTAAGCAAAGTTTCTAGAACAGACAAGCCAGTAAGGAGATAGAGATGGATACATGCACCATCAGTTCACGACACATCAGCTTCAAAGAGATTCCCTTACTCATTCACCCATCTTCCTCATCAAGCCACATGACAATTACACTCTTCTTCACCAAACTATATGATATTATTGAAACTAGCTGTTCTGCATACAAAAAATACTTTTTTTAGCAAAAAGATTTCTTTTAAATAAAAAACAGATATATACATTTTTAACTAAAGAACAAAAATTTACATAAATCAACAAAAGTATATATCCATTTATTCTTCATTTAAGTAATTAATACCAGCCTACACACACACACACACACACACACCAATCTTTGCACATTAATTTCCAAAAAGAACCCCTCCAAAAAGGAAACCTTTTCAAAAAGGTTTTTTAAAAAAATTTAAATAAGTCATATGACAAAAATAATT